AAATGTTCAGGAACAGAATCTGGATGTTTGGTGTCATCAGTTGGTGTGGATGTGACATGATCAGGAACACAACCTAGACTTCTGGTTTCATCAGTTGGTGTGGATGTGAAATGTTCAGGAACAGAATCTGGATGTTTGGTGTCATCAGTTGGTGTGGATGTGACATGATCAGGAACACAACCTAGACTTCTGGTTTCATCAGTTGGTGTGGATGTGAAATGTTCAGGAACAGAATCTGGATGTTTGGTGTCATCAGTTGGTGTGGATGTGACATGATCAGGAACACAACCTAGACTTCTGGTGTCATCAGTTGGTATGGATGTGACATGATCAGGAACAGAACCTAGACGTCTGGTGTCATCAGTTGGTGTGGATGTGAAATGTTCTAGACGTCTGGTGGACAAAATAACCTGGTTCCTCGAGGCCACTGGAGAAGGTTCTTCGTTATTCTTCAAATTCATGGTGTTAAAAAAAATATCTTGTTTTTCTTTGTTAATGACTGAGATCCATTCTTCTTTCTGTGACAATTTCTTGGCTAGTATGCAAGAGTCTTCATCCCTCTGGTGATTTACTTGACAACAGACGTCATCACTCTGGTGATTTACTTGACAACAGTCTTCATCACTCTGGTAATTCACTTGACAACAGTCTTCATCATTCTGGTGATTCACTTGACAACAGTCTTCATCACTCAGGTGATTTACTTGACAACTGTTTTCATCACTCTGGTAATTCACTTGACAACAGTCTTCATCATTCTGGTGATTCACTTGACAACAGTCTTCATCACTATGATGATTTACTTGATAACAGTCTTCATCACTCTGGTGATTCACTTGACAACAGTCTTCATCACTATGACGATTTACTTGATAACAGTCTTCATCACTATGATGAGCTCCTTCATCATTCTGATTATTTACTTGATAACAGTCTTCATCACTATGATGAGCTCCTTCATCATTCTGATGATTTACTTGACAACAGTCTTCATCATTCTGGTGATTCACCTGATAACAGTCTTCATCACTATGATGAGCTCCTTCATCATTCTGATAATTTGCTCGACACATTTTTCTCACGTCTTCACTTCCAAACCTAAAACAGATTAACGATACATTTATCCAACTAAAATGCTTATTTTTATCCAGCTTCTTAGGATGAGAACATTATAACAGAAAGAGAGGTACATAGACACATAAGAATAAAACAATTTTGTTTTCACCAAATAACTTCCACGCGTATTTTATCATTCATTATTTAAATAATCCAACCGAACCCTAGCAAGTTTCATAGATACAAAATACAACAAAAATATACTATATATATATTACGAGTTTCATTTCCATTACTAGCAAATTTTATAAATAGACATTATGGCAGAAATTTACTAAATAAATTTGAATTTGAAAATAATTGTATCTCAGGTTTCACTTGAAATATTCAACATGACAAATTTTATTCGTTTTCACACAACTTGTTTTTGTGTTAGCACTTGATTAAGCATGCACTGGGTTACTTACATCCTTGACATTAATTAGGGTTAGTTTACATAAGTCGTAAAGAACTGGTTTGTTCAGTGAAAAGGAGACTTGTTACTCCAACAGCTCTTTTCATTCAACAGATGTAAATTCCGTTTTTACAAGACAAATTTAATAAGCTGTCTAACGTTTTGAGCAGTACTTATGATTTAAACATCACTGTACATCAGGGGTTCGTGTACAACTCAAACAGGAGGAAAGAATGTGAATGGTAGCCTCCGTCCTTTGAACCTTGCAGAATGACACGAAAGTTCAGTCTAAAGTTAATGCCGATAGAGGTCGTGGTAAAATTAATAAAATGATTGACAAGTTTCAAACAAATAGGGGTGGAATGGAGAAAGCAATCAGCATGTTTTTCTCTGGTTTTATACAGCAGTGACCTCCTGTTGTCACTTTCTGAAAAAGGGGTCACAACCTAGAATTGTAAAGACAGCCTGGCATACCATCCATCTTTTTATCAGATGGAAGATATGGTGGGAGTTGGAGGATATGTCATGACGAAAGTTTTATTAGCATTGAAAAGCTCTTCACAATATTTGATGTCGTGTCTGTCAAGTACAACGTATTCCATTTGCGGCTGGGCCACGCCTTGTCTCTGACATATACGACCTTGGAAAAGGGGCGAGAGCTAAGAAAACAAACTTGAAACTGCTCTGGTATTTCCAACATAAAAAAAAGGTAAAACAACAACACCAACAACAAAGAAAAACGTCTACGATTATACAAGACCAATTCAAATTCCTTGCACAGCGGTCTCCAAGCAAGGTCAACAGATAATTATTATTCGCCTCCTGTATGACCAACTATTTCATTCATTCTTTGAATTACAAATGAATCAACCTATTTCAAAATATAATCTTTCATGCATGCAGACCACAGAACAATCGCTATGTCCTCCACACATCACAGAGTTTATTTCCAGCTCTTCGAGGGTTGTTCAGTGGAGAGGTTCATTACAAGTGAGTCGTTGAAACTTGATTAAAGAATGTTGCGTATAGCCAGGAATCAAGACTTTCCTGGTTAAGTAACTATACTTTTGTTTCCATGGCAACTCTTCCCAAGCATAATATGTTTTTTTTAATACTGTCATTATCGAAAATCAATGACTTAAGAAACTGATTGTTATTGAAACGTCATATGTACATACAATCATAAATTATACTTCAATATATTATATTATATATTTATTTTACTCCGATGTCTTGTTTGAACTTGTCCATTGTCCAGTCATACCCGAACAGTGACCACACTTACGTCACGAAACGTATTAAACACTTCCAATAAAGTTCGTTACAAACTTGATTAATTAATTAATTTCTTTGTAGTTAAACACAAAACTACACAATGGGCTCTCTGTGCTGTGCCCATCACGAGTATCGAAACCCGGTTTTCAGCGGTATGAGCCCTCAGACTCAGCGTTGAGCCAATGGGGGCAAAAGAAATATTGTTTTTGTTTCGTTTATATCATTCATTTTGCCAAAATGATTTCAATAAAACGTTGTTGTTTACATATATTTCTGCCCTATTACCAAGCAGGCGGGAAACGGATATCTTGCATACTTATTCTGTGACAAGTTCAACAGAAAATGGAACGCGTCGTTGCCTTGTGTAACCCCGAGATTCTTGACATCCAGCTTTGTGCCAAACTTTCTACACAGGTGGATATATATATACATATATACCTAGCTTGCGGTTACAAAAGTCAAGAGTTTGTAGCTTGGGGTTAGAGAAGTCAAGAGTTTGTAGCTTGGGGTTAGAGAAGTCAAGAGTTTGTTGCCTGGGGTTAGAGAAGTCAAGAGTTTGTAGCCTGGGGTTAGAGAAGTCAAGAGTTTGTAGCTTGGGGTTAGAGAAGTCAAGAGTTTGTAGCCTGAGGTTAGAGAAGTCAAGAGTTTGTAGCCTGAGGTTACAGAAGTCAAGAGTTTGTAGCTTGGGGTTACAGAAGTCAAGAGTTTGTAGCTTGGGGTTACAGAAGTCAAGAGTTTGTAGCTTGGGGTTACAGAGGTCAAGAGTTTGTGCAATTTTCTCTTTGGGTTAATTTCCGCAGTAAACTATCCCCTTTATTACTCCGAGTCAAGAGAGAGAAGAAAATAATAACTTTTCCTAATTGATTTAGAAACATGAAATAATGTAAACCACACGAGAAAGAAACAGTAAGAAGAGAATCCATAGGTCACCCCTCTGAGAGTTAAATCTTACAGTTGGCACATAGCAACACGCATCAGGAGGGGGAGATTTTGAAGGGCACGCATAACGTAGAATTATATTTGTGACACTATGGGAAGAATACTAGGAAATCAATCATCCTCCTCCCCCTCCCCCCACGTTATCTAAACACCTAAAAAGAATTCCAGTCCAGGAACTGTCTGTCTTGCTTCATAGAGACACATTTTCTTTTTTTTTGGTATGTCGCATTGTTGAAAACTACATATCAACTCCGGCTTCGGCTCTAAGCTCGCACAATTGGCGCCAATTTTCACGTATATTGTTGTTTTTCATTCGTCAAGAACTGATAAGATACAGGCAGTCAGTGAACTATTTTGTGCATGGAATAAAATAAATAAAACAAACACGCGTTAGACTTAGAGAGCATGACAGACTCACATATTTGGCGTATATAATTAGAAAACGAGTTATCTCACCAGAAACATTTAGGCTATGAAATATAGTTCAGTAGATAGCAACAGGACGATCAGTAAATAAAATATATCTAAACACACTGTCACGTTTTCTTCAACCAATTATTTTCTTGTACGTTTCAATGTGAGAAAACTATAACTATGTGTTATTGGTAGAGACATCTTGAGTTTCATTAACGACAAATTTACGTAACAACAAGGTACGCGTGAGGTTTGAAATAATGTGGTCCATCTGCCTCTTTTGGACACCGAAGAACCTGACCCTCCCAAGTCGCCCAGCGACTAAACATCAATGCAGACGATGGTTTTAGGACACTTGGTCGTGAATCTACACAGTAAGGGAGTGTATGGATTTGACTGTTCACGTGGTTTTAGCCTTGTGGATGAACGATTAGCGACACAAATATGATCCCCATGTGAGTAAAGACTGTAGTAACATTATGTAACAATGTCAAAA